TATAACATGTTATAGCGCTATCTTGATGGTGGTTTCTGTGTTGCAATTAGTTGACAACCGTTATAACATGTTATAACTCTCCAGTCTGGACACCGTTTTATAGTACGTTCAAGCACTGTCCAGACTGAGCAGTTATAACATGTTATAACGGTTGTCAAATAATTGCAACACAGAAACCACCATCAAGATAGCGCTATAACATGTTATAACTCTGTAGTCTGAACGTACTATCAGACTACAGAGTTATAACATGTTATAGCACTATCTTGATGGTGGATTCTGTGTTGCAATTATTTGACAACCGTTATAACATGTTATAACTCTCCAGTCTGGCCAGCGTTTTACTCTGTCTGGTAGGCTCTTCGCTCTCTATCAGCACATTGAAGGATACATTTATTCATACAAACAGGCCGCCATTACCGAGCATGGAAAGCTGGATTGTACCTGACATACCAGGAATCAATTTTGACAAACACGCTCTCGAAAATCGGACAATCAACATCAGAGGGATTTTTGAACATTATAATATATTTTCGAAGTGTCAAATTTATGAGAAAATTCACCAAATGAAACTAAGCCTTCGGCTGAAAATGTGAAAATTGGTTAAAAAATGAGTGTTGATTAAAGGGTGTCCACAGTTAAATTGCATCAATTAGAAGTACTCGCCAAAAATAAGTCTCAACCGATTGTCATGAAAATTTCAGGAATATAATACTATATAAAAGGCGTAACATTTAAATTAAAAACAGAATAACTACTATGCAACATGGCTTCTTTAAAGGCCGTTCAACAACTACGAATTTGCTCGAATTAATTAATTATTCCTTGAATGCAATGGATAACGGAAACCATGTAGAAGTGTTGTATACAGATTTCAGCAAAGCGTTTGATCGAATTGACATACCCATGCTTCTTTTTAAACTTCAAAAAATGGGAATTCATTACGCACTCCTCAAGTGGCTTGAATCATATTGAACTGACCGCCATCAAATAGTAAAATACAAAGGAAAGATATCAAATCCCGTTGATGTCACTTCAGGAGTTCCTCAAGGCTCCCATTTAGGACCACTTTTATTTATTCTCTTCGTTAATGACATATCTTTCATTATTAAGAAATTGAAAGTTTTAATATATGCTGACGACATTGAACTTTTTTGGAAATAAAAGATGCCAAAGACATCATCACATTCAAAGAGAAAATTCAGATATTCCATACATGATGTCAAAAAAGCCTGCTACAATTAAATATAAAAAAAATGTAACTCAATTACCATTAGTAGAAAACAAATCCTACCCGATATAACAATCACTTTAGGGAAACAGATCGTAGAAAAGTGTGATAGAGTCAGGGATCTAGGTGTTATTTTGGACTCAAAACTTACTTTCACCGATCATTATAACACAATTATTAACAGAGCTAACAACATGCTTGGTTTCATAAAACGTTTCTGCTATAACTTTCACGATCCTTATACGATAAAAACATTGTACATTGCTTATGTAAGGTCGATATTAGAATATTGCAGCATAGTTTGGTCTCCTTTTGCAATCACACACGAAGAAAGAATAGAGTCCGTTCAAAAGCAGTTTCTATTGTATGCGCTCCGCAAGTTAGGTTGGACTGTATTTCCTCTGCCATCTTAGACACCTCGGTGTATGCTTCAAAATATTCAAACATTAAAAGAGCGTCGTGAATTTGCTATGATTTCTTTCGTAAACGATATCGTATCACATCGAATTGATTCAATAGTACTATTGTCATTCTTACATTTATATACACCATCTAGGCATTTACGAAATAGAAATATATTTGCTACAAATCGTCATCGTACGAATTATGCCAAATTTGGATCCTTGAACCAAACGATACATATAATAAGCACTGCGATAACATTGACTTTACAATGACAAAAACCAAATTAAAGCAATATTTTAATTCCTCGCATAACGTCAACTAGAAGTAATGTTTTAACTTGTTCTTAAGACATATTATAAAAAATATAAACAAAGACAAAATTGTAAAAATACCACTTAAGACAACAATTGTAAAACGGTCTACACTGATTGACGACAAATAAATAAACATTTGATAACGGCACAAGAGCTTTTGTAAACAAACTTTGTAAGGCCCTTTGCACGTGAACCGAAGTACGCCCATGCAAACCAAACACATCATCGGATAGGGGCAACTCTCACCTTTTCGAAAGTGGTATTGGTTTGCGTGAGCGTACTTTGGTTCGCGTGTAAAGGGCCTTAGAAAATTTGTTTACTAATGATTTTGTGCCGTTATCAAATGTTATGCCTGATATATAAGTTTACGATTATAAGCTGGGTCTGGCGAAGTCGAATCGCAACCACACTATCCAAGACGCATTGCAGCAAGCTTTACTCTGTTCGAACGGTTGTCAAATTGATAAACAAAGTTAATGTGTGCAAGATTGTGAGTGACTCTCTTGAAATATCGATTGGTAGTTGTAGTCTGTTGTAGTTCGTTGTTATTGTCGGTCGCGTTTGACACCGGAAAACCCCACACCCGACTTTCGATTTTACTCTCATTCTGTACAACAACAAAGCGTCGGACATTGTGTGCATTATGGCGCATCATTGTACAAATACAGCGCACTATGTCCGACGTTATGTTTTATGTACAGATTGAGAGTAAAATCGATTGGCGCGTGTCGAATTTTCCGGTTTTCTACTGTATCAATAATATTTGGTTTTCATAAAAGTTCCTAAGCAGTTTTACGTTTTACTCAGATTACAATACTCCCTATCTGTTTCTTCCATATGAGCTCTTATAAGAACAGTAAAAAATGGTTCGATTTTGACAGTTCAACTTGGTTCGAAATCCATTACGAGTCCGCCAGACCCGAGGCCAGACCCAGATTATAAGTAACTTTATGTCACTCTATTTCATCACCAAATCCAAATGCTCGAACTTTCTTCTTAATTCATCCTAAAAGCTTTTGTACAACGGTTGAATCGATTTTTTTTTCCTGCTTTCAACCATGATTTCAACATTTCCTGCTCCTTAGTGACAACTTTAGGAAGCTTACGGAGCTCGTCCTTCATTATAGCCCAGTATATTTCGATCGACCGCAACTCCGTTGTGTTTGGGGGATTGAGATCCTCCTGCACGAAATTGACCCCACTCGTCTTGTACCTCTTCAGAAAGTCCTTGGAATAGTGACAAGAGGCTAGGTCTGGCCAAAAAATTGCAGGAACGTTGTGTGATTTTTTTTTTAAAACTTTATTTTAGAGATTTTTAGCCTTAGTTTTTTAGCCTTAGTTTATCTCTTAGTTGTGTGATTTGAGAAACGGAAGCAGTCGTTACTTCAGGCACTCATTCATGTAGACTTGGTCATTTACTATTTTGTCGTTCATTGCGGTTTGGTGCTTTCTGAACCTTGAATGAACGTAGTCCTGCTCGTTTATTGGCTTTCTGCACGAAACTTTTTGTCAGGTGCAGTTTTTTCGCGACATCCCGAACGGAATAGTTGGGTATGCGTTTTAAGGCATCTTTTTTTGCACTCTCTTGCTGCCGATCGACAGTTAAACCGTTAAACGTTGTCCGAAACGTTTTATGAAACGAGAAACAGTAGATTGTTGGATTTCCAACATCTTTCTGATGGCTCGGTGCGAAACCCTAATAAAAATTGTATGGTTAATTTGCTTAACGACGTGTTCTGGGTATCATCCAAACCATTTGTGGAATAGTTCAATGATTTGGGTTATCGTTCGTGTATGGTTATTTTTTATTAGGGAAGGTGTGGGTTGTTGAGCTGAGTGTGCAAAACTTTCTCGCGCACGTGCTGTTCCTTCGACTCCATTTTCAAAACAACTATAAATTTCACAATGAAACTCACGCAGTGTAAACAATACACGTTGGAGCCATCTCACCCAAAATTTTCATTAAAATTAACCCAAAGGGCAAAATGTTACAGCTTTTTGAAAGTGATTCAATTTAACTGTGGACACCCTTTAGAACACCTAATCAAAACGTGAGCGGTAATTAGTACATATAACTGAATTAAGTTTTAATGTTTTTACCCTTCTTACAAAGAAGGGTATAGATATCACTTGAAAAACCGACTATCGATCCGAGGCCCGGAGGGCCGAGTGTCATATACCATTCGACTCAGCTCGACGAGATCGGAACATGTCTGTGTGTTTGTGTGTACGTGTGTATGTGTGTATGTGTGTGTGTATGTAACGAAATGAATGCGCTCACGTTTCTCAGCAACCGCTCAACCGATTTGGACAAACTCGGCGCCAAATGATAGGTCTTGGGGTCCCATTGAACGCTATTGAACGGTTTTGGAATCGGTGAACCGGTTCCGGAGATATGGCCGGAATAAGATCCGGTGAATATGGACCTTCACGCTGGATTTAACGGAAAACGTATCAAAACCATCATGCGACACATCAAATTACTACAGAATTCAAAAATAAAATCAATGCAAGTCGTGTTAAGTGTTCCAGACCACATTGGACACACTTGGACATGTTCCGGGTACCCCGGGGAAGTTGCTTGAATATGAATTGAATTGTAACCCATTAAATCACATTAAAATACGATGATAAGGTGATTGGTAAATAGCCTCACCAAATAGACTACACCCGGATATATTCCGGGTACCCCCAGGCAGTGGCGTAGCGTCACTGGATGACACGGGGGTGGGGGGCTTGGTCACTGATAATGACAATAAAATAAATAAACTTGAATAAGTAAGAAGGGTCTGATCACACCATAGGTGGATAAATTCGGGTTTTTAAAGACGTGTTTGCTGTTCAAATTTTTTATTCTAGTTTTACGCATAGCGTATAAGTTACCCTAACGAATGATGAAAAAAGATAAACCAAATATGTACAATGTTGGGTTTTTCCTTGGATTTTGTTTTAACTTTAACATTGCCTTAAATAAGCGGAAATTGGTACTCTGATGGTATTGTCCAAACATTCAGAAGATGACCTCTTTTTTATTTTATTTTTTTTTTCAGAAAACACCGCAGTGGATGCTTATCCGGCCGTCCCGTACGAGCTCTCCGAAAGCGACGAATCCTTCCTCCGTGAAGCTTCCAATTGGATCGGAGCGAACCTTTCCAAGCTAGATCTGTGCCACCACAGGGTGATTTTGAAATTGAAAAATTCCTGCGAACGTCTGAATGCCGAGCAGATCGGTAAACTGGCCGTCATGCTGCTCAACTGCCAATCGGATTCCGAAGGTCGGAAAGTGTACCACTGTACCGAGCAGATGACGTTGAAGGACTGCACCAAGGAGATGGATCCGGACACGTGGAATGCGTACCACCTGGTGACAAATCGTGCGAAAGCCGTTTGCGCTAGCGTCAGGCACGATCAGTTCCGGGGACTGACTGAACTGACCGTCAACAAGCTGATGAATACGGCTCACGAGCAAATCGAAATGATGGGACAGCTGGCGGAGAACCAAAAGGAGCTGCACAGCGTTACGCAGGAAGCGATCGAAGAGATGTCGACAAATAACGACAGGATTATCAGCCAACAGGGCGATATTATGCGACTATCGGAGGCGCATAGAGCCAAGGTGGAGTCTAATTTCAGGGATCTGGTAAGGGAAAAGGCTTTGATTCGGGCAGGACAACAGGAAGTTGCTGTCCTGTTGACGGGCTTACGGAGCAGGATTGACGATAGCATCAAACAGCTGGAGATGCAGTCGAAGCGGAGTAAATTGAATCATGCTTCGCTGCTTTCGGATATGGAAAATCTGCAAAAGAGTGCAGCGACCATCGCGGGAAAGATTGACGAAACCAGCGAACATTTTGCTTCGCATCACCAAGCGGCTGAGGAGCAATACAAATACACTTTGGGACAGTTGGAAAAGATCAACAACACAGTCGCTAACATGTTGGACATGATCGACGCATTGCAGAAAGACTTCGATCATAAGTTGGCTTGGATCACGGAGAAGGTCGGTGGAAGTGACTACATACTCAAGAAGATGAACACCATCGTGATTCATTTTTGCTACCTTATATTTGGAATGATTTGCCTATCCTTTGTCGGAGCGGACAAATTTGTCCGGGTTTTCTTCATCCTGGCAGTGCCAGGGAATCTGCTAGGCAACCTACTGGATCTATTCAGCTCGGACGTTATCCGGTTGAGTATCGCATTGGGGAGCTTCATCGTTGCCGATTTGATCTGCCGTTTGGGATTGAAATTCTACCCCAGCTTGCATACCAGACAGGCTCCATCTTCCAGTCGGGATCAGACTGACCAGCCGGGAGAAAGGCAACGAGAGCCTTCGGTGGCTCCTCGATCACGGTTGAACGTGCCGTTTGTCAGAACGGAACCTACCGTCGAGGAAGATGATGAAGAGACGGAATCACACGATGCTGTGTCCTATCTGAGCTCGTTCCGTTCAAGATTCTCGAGGGAACGATCGGTTACTCCTCCGGTGGCGAATGGGGTGGAAAGCAGACGCAGTGTGACACGTGAGAGTAGCGACGATCGGCAGCAGTGTACGGCTAGGACGTTGCGAGGGGAACAGTGCAGAGGGTTGGCACTGTCGGGGCGGGATTTTTGCAGGGTTCATGATCAGAGGGGTTTGTGAGGGGGCTTGGTACCGGAAGGGTAGTTTTTTTTAGGTTTTAGATTGCTTTGGATAGCTTTAATTGGACAATGTTGCGTTTGTAGGGTATAATATTTAATTAGGATATGTTTTTAAATTTTACTATTACCTCGCTCATGACTTATTTTACTGGACTATAGTTTATAGTTATTGTTACCACGAATTTGTAAGCCATGGATCTACCTGAAATCAGTGACCATTTGTGTTGTTATTTAACCCAAACCATTACTTAGTAAAAACATAAATTATGAGTTAATACTTAATTTGTACAATAAATACTGCAAAAAGACAGAGTATATTCGTGCCTTTCCTTATTTCAATCACATCCGTAAACATTCAAACCAGGCGATTGCGTTACCTTACCCAAATCTCATGCAGGAAAGAGACCATTCGGGGTAATGGCGTTCGAGGAAGTGACATTCGGGGTAGCTGTAGCACAACAAACGGAACTCACAAACGACATTGACGGCAATATATTCACGTAAAATAAACTTGCTTAATAAATTGCACACAATGTTGCATACAGTATCCCCCCGCTGTGTTGGAAGGAGAAATGGCTAGAGTACATTGGAAACTAGATTATAGAAAAAGACGTCGGAATTGCTGAAGAATTAACTTTACACAGCAAATAAACGTGTATTATTTGAGGTTCTATACATGTAGGTCACTCTTACGGCCCTTTGAATTTACCTTTAGCGTATAGAGCTTTAGCGCCCTGCGGCTGGGAACTCGGACATGCTCATCCGACAATATCATGGCTGGACTATCGGGGATTGACTCGCTAATGCGACTGTCAAGTCCATACTAAAAAAACATACAGCATGCTAATCCAGCATTTAGTTGTTCTGTGTTTTTTTTAACTGGGCTTGAACGCAAAACAAATCTTTTACTGAATATTCACTTCAAATTATCGGAATTACTGACATTCAGCAAATACAAACTGAACTTCGGTACCGTTTTTTTGGTAAATACTGAGCACAGCATTTGTAATTACCGTAAACCGCCCTAATTCTGCGCATCGCCTAACTCCGCGCATTTTAAATCAAATTAATGATTTATGTCAATTAAATGCTATGTTGAGCCTGAATTGTCGATGTGTGGCATGCTTTACTGTATGAAGATATGTGCTGCGTTGAAATGAACAACAATAAACATCCTGTGTCGCGTAGAGAAAAAGAAAATCACTTGCGGATCCTGTCAGTCGCCATTTTTTCGCTGCGTTCGAGCGTTTGTGCTTAGAATGTGTTGTATAAACAAGACAATTTTTTTCTTTTAAAAAGTGTTGTTTGCAGTGATATAGTGTACACTTTGAGTCTCGACAGGTATATTTAACATATTTCAGTGGTTATTTTAATAGTGACATGCATATAAAGTGAAATACAGCAGAAAATCTCTTGCGCGGAATTACGAATCTTTGTTTTTGACTTCGGCTTAATTCCGTGTGTTTACTTTTCAGAATGCCGTCACGGAAAAATATGCAGTACTCACTGGAACATTTATCAACAGCACTGGCATCAATCCGGAAGGGTAACCGGATCCGTCAGGTATCTCGTTCCAGTGGAATCCCGGAGAGCACACTGCGGGATAAATTGAAAACAACCTCCCAACAAGAGAAACCTGGAGCGCCCACCGTTTTAACATACGATGAAGAAAACCGAACCGTTTCTTGGGTTTTGGATATGGCCAAAGTGGGATTCCCTGTCAATACCCAGAAATTGACCGCATGTGTGGCACATTACGTTCAAGGAAGGAAGACAAAGTTTAAAGGAGGCATTCCGGGAGGAAAATGGATGAAGCTTTTTTTGAAACGTCACCCAAACATAGCTCGACGTGTCCCAAGAGTGCTTCCGAAGCACCGAGCTGCTGTATCCGAATGCCAGATCAGGCACTGGTTTACGGAAATTAAAGGATACATCCAAGCGGAGGGCCCGGATATATTTTGAAGGATCCATCGAGAATATTTAACATGGACGAAACCGCAGTGCGCACAATACCGACTAAAGAAGTGGTTTTAGCTGGCACAGGAACCCGTCATCTTCATGTTCGTGTTGGCAATTCCGATTAAGAGTCCTATACTGCTTTATTTGCCGCGAAAGCCTCCGGAACATTAGCGCCAACTCTATTGCTATTTCCATACAAGCAACGGATTCCCGGAGAAATTTTCAAAAAAATTACAACCGAATTGGGCAGCTGGGAGAACGGAAACGGGATGGATGAATAGGGACACGTTTTATTTGTACCTTCACGACGTGTTCCATCCATGGCTGCTGACAGAGAAGATTGTTTTACCGGTTGTAGTATTTTTAGACGGCCACAAAAGCCACGTGTCCCCCCTCACTACGGAGCTGTGTCTGAAAGCAAATATAATACTGATATGTCTTCCACCCAACAGCACGCAAATTAAGCAGCCACTCGACGTTTCATTTTTCCGGCCATTGAAATCTTTTTGGAATCAATCATTAACGGAATGGAGAATCGATCACGGAGGTGAAATACTTTCAAGAAGTGAAATCGCACCTCTGCTTCAAAAGGCCATTGGACAGATGGTTCATTTAACATCAACCTTGGTGAATGGCTTTCGGCGATCCGGATTGTACCCTTTTGATGTAGACGCAGTCAACTACGATTCATTGGTAACAGACAATAATGAGACATCGAGTCTTGAACACCACGAACAAGGAGCTTCCACATCGTATCCACGATCAAACAATGATTTCGTGAAGGAATTGGAAACATACTTAACACCTGAACAACAACAACGTTTCCAAGCAAATATCGATACGGGAGATTGGGCGGGTCCGATCCAGGACGCTAATTTATTCTTTGTATGGAAAAAAGCAAAATTAGGAATGGAAGCCAGTTTTGTGTCATCATCCATGAATTGTTATTTTGATGATCTTGAAAACGAACCCCCATTTGAGGGTTTTGGAGTCGACGATCAGAAGTTGAAAGGTATTCTGTTTTGTTTTAGGTGTTCACCAGCTGTTCAAAAATACGTAACTTGTTTTAATTGTATTAAGGTAACACCCTTGATGTATCTGCACCAAGCATCGTTAACTCACAGGAAGAGGCTAATGACAGTTTCAGTGAATCATTTAAGAAGCCAACATTGAAGGTTCCTGCCCGAAAGATGAAGAAAGGCCATCCGCCGTCGGTAGCCACGAGCAAGGCCTATAAGGATTATGAGGATGGAATTAAAAAACAAAAGCTGCAGGAAGAAGTGGAACGCCAAAAGAAAAAATACCAGAAAATGCGCAAGAAAAAACAGAATGAAAGAGAAATGTTAAAGAAGAAATTCGATCGATTGCTTAAACAGAAGAAATGAAGAGCAAAGTTTTGTAAAGATCAATTCCAAACCAGGTTCCAAACATTGTTTTTAAAGCTCAGGACCAAGTAAACCTTTAATATGCTGAATTATTGAGTTGTTTTTCATAAAGACAGGTGTTTTTTTCATATGGAAGAATCAACTAAGGGAATATCCATAAATGACATAGCATATTGTTGGCTAATTTTAGACATCCCCTTCTCCCTTGTAGCATTTTTTTTCTTTACTCTATACATGGTTAGTCACAACTTGTGTAAGCCCCCTCCCCTTTCCCACAAATGCTACGTCATTTATGGATTGTCCCTATGGGCGTGGGATATCCCTGGATGTACGACTAAGTCGCAATCACAAAAGCGCAAAAAATCTCTCAATTATAATTATTTTTAACGTGCGCGGAATTAGGGTCATTTTTGCACGGAATTAGGATTCGCACTTTTCAAATGCTCGGAATTAGGCACAAGTACATCGAAAACAATTTCCGTTTAAAAAAAGTTTTGGTCGTAGATTTTGGTTGTGCTTCATTTTTCTAACATACTACTATAATAGCACTACATTCGGGTAAAAACAGTTTATCGCTAGCATCTATGATATTTTTTTAATACTTAGTTGAATTTTCATATTCCTTAACTGCGCAGAATTAGGGCGGTTTACGGTACTGAGAAAGCAAGAAAGCTCCAAATTTTCTGTATTGTACGAAAAGTCAGTAATTATAATTACTGTACATAAAGTAATCATAGAATTTTTCTGGACATCCGTCAAAATACTCAACGTATTTTACTGACCATGAATTGTAAAATTCTAAGCTGTCATCTTTTTCAATTCTCATTATAGCTTTAGTGAAAATCCAGGAGCAAGCATTTTTTCCACGGCAGCGGAGTCGAGTCGGAGTCAGGCGCATTTTCGAGGTATCTGATGTCCAAATCAAAGGTATTCTTTCTATTACACCGATAAAACACCATTGACAGTTACTCCGAGCCCGGAACATACCAAAAATTCCGAATCCGCAGCCTTGGTTTTTTTTCTTAATTTTTTTTCAGTAAACATTTGAGAAAGGCGATGGGGACGAAAGTCCCAGATTTATTCAAATTTTGCCAAAAATTACTCTAATAATTGATTTATAGATTTATATTCGGAGAAATCCATTTTATCAAATTCATCCGATATAATCGTGCTTAAATCTCTAAAAACAAATCTGGATCAACAATAGAAAACGGCCCATCAGCATTTGTAAACAAACCGTTCCAAAGCCCTTTACTCACAAAATGAAGGCCACCCACGCAAACCAACACCATAACCGGATGGGGGAAACTTCCACCTACACGATGATGGTGTTGGTTTGTGTGGGCGGCCTTCGATTTGTGAGGAATGGGCTTTGGAACGGTTTGTTTACAAATGGAGGTCCCAAGCAACAATTTTTGTTTTATTGAAGTTTTACAGCAGTTGATATAACCAAATTATAAAACCTTCACTGACGACCACATTGCTTTAAAAACCTCCAGAGAACCGCTATACATCCATGTTATGGCCAATTGGCCCAGTTTGAATGCAATCATTAAAACTTGATATGCGAACTACCTTAGGAGTTTTATCACACTCTACACATGGTTGTTAAAAATGAAAACATAAAACCTTCTCCAGGTCAGAAAGTTTTAACAACCTTTTGATGACTACCATAAAACTATATTACAACCCGAGG